AGCCGTCCAGACGGGGCCGGGGCCGGCCAAGAGGAAGCAGCGGCGCTACCGCACCACGTTCAGCAGCCGGCAGCTGGAGGAGCTGGAGCGCGCCTTCCGCGCCTCGCACTACCCCGACGTCTTCGCCAGGTACCGCCGCGGCCCGGCAGCCGCCTCACGGGGGGACAGCCTAGCTCGCGGGGCCTCCCTGTGGGCCCCGGGGCATCCCGGCTCACAGGGACCTGGTCCCGGCTGCGGGGACTTGCTCCTAGCTGGCGGGGACGCGGTGTGGGCTGGGGAACGCACCCCGAGGGCAGCCCAGCTCACGGGGACTGGATCCCGGGGGGGGGGGCCTGATTTGGACACCCGGGGGGAGCAGGGCCAAACCCACCTGGCTTCCCCTAGCCTGGGTCTGAGCCCGTGACAAGTGTGAGGGGGCCGAGGCAGGGGCTTTGGCACTCCCAGCATGTCCAGCACTGGGGCTTGGAAAGCAGAGGCTTGACCGACATCGCCAGCTTTGGACAGAGCCAGGGTGCGAGCCTGGCGCTCGGCGCATCCCCAGGCGAGCGGCAGGGAGCAGAGGCTGGCTCTTTACGGGCAGGCAGGGTGACTTTGCACCATATAAGCTAACTCAGGGGTTCCCAAAATAATACTCAGAGTCCTGGGGGGCACAAGACAGCTCTGGGCAGTATGTGGGAGAAGTTGTATAATGGCGGATATAACTTTCATTATTGTAACTCATAAGAACAATGAAGGGGTTAAAATATCAACTCTGTGCTGGTAGGGGCAGGCAGGTGGGGAATCTGGAATGGGGCACACGGTATGAAAAAGGTTGCAACCTCTGGACCAACTAAGCCAGCGACGCAGGGCAGGCAGAAGGCTTCGTGAGCAGCAGGCTTATTTCATCAGGCGCTGTCTGTTGACTAACATTTACATGTGGGGACAGGGCACTTACCAAGGTGCCAGCCTCCTCGCCACGAGAAATCCAGGCACTAAATCACCTCTGGTTCTTCCTTCTGCAGAGAGGAGCTTGCCATGCGTCTGGATTTAACAGAAGCAAGAGTTCAGGTGAGTAACAGATCCCGAGGACCCCCGGGCAGCTCTGATTTGTGCACAATGTATTTTGAAACAAATATTCTGAGCTTTGTCTTACCTGTTGTTGGGTTTTTTTTGTTACTTTTCATAGTCCTGCTGGCTTTATTTTGTTTTCCAGTTCACATTGATGGAGGTCTTTTGTTGGTATGCTCCCTCCCTTTCCAAAAGCAGAGCTTTCAAAATGAAACGTCGTAATAGATTGTCATATTTGTACATCTCAGCAAACGTTTAAAAATACACTGTTGTTTGCCAGGATGATTTTAAGATCCATATGCCGGTAGCTTTCCAAACATAGAAGTGGATTGAAAGACTTGTACATATTCTGTTTAAACCATTTCATGCTTAAGTCAACGTATTGAAAACAAACCAACAAAAATCTGTAGATTCAAAGTAAAGATTTGATATGCTTTCCCTATAAAATTAAGTAGTGGAAGAAGTTATTTTAGAAACAAAAATGAGGGTAGTATCCTATAAAATAATTAAGTTTAGTTGGAAATTGTCTGGCTGTTGTCAACATCTGTTGCAACTTCAATCCTTTAAAATCTGCCTTTTCAATATTTGATCTAAAGAAAAGAGACCTATCCTCAAGGTAGCTGTTATTAAAAAGTTAAGACAGGAAAGCTAAGCATAATGCTTTACAGTCAGGTACTTATCCCTGGTCTGTAAAGGTCCATCAGCAAATTCATAGCATCACTTCTCTTCAATCTGTCTTGAGGACTACAGATTCTCAGTGCAGTTTCTTTTAAGCTCCAGGATCTAATGCACTAGGTGTTTAACACACAAGTCACAATGTGAACTAATGATTCATCACTGTTCTTATCTAAATATTTAGTTATGTAGTTCATAAAGGCATTTACATAGTTTTACCCTCCCCCAGTTTAACCTAGGAACAGCAACACTATTTTTTGTAAAGATTGATTAAGTAAAATAGCGTGATCATTTTCAATATATATGTTATATATTCTGAGGCTGAGATGAAAATACCTCCCTGATGGAAATTTTTGGCTTGGGTAGTCAGGGGTTTACTGATGGTTTTTTGTTTTTTTTTTTTTGTCGGATTTTCCACTACAAGCAAAAAGACTCAGGAACAAGTCTTGCACGCTGCAGTCCTCCTCAGAAAAGAGACTGCAATTTTAATGTAATGAAGAATCACTTGAATAGCTTTTCCTGAGTTTAAATGCTCCTATTTAACACAGTATCTTTTAAGGCAGTGGTCTCCAAAGTGGGGTGTGCGTAACCCAGGGGGCGCGCAAGACTACCCATTGGGGTGCGGGAAGAAAATTAGACCTTCTATTTATATAAATATACATATATTGGGGGTGCATGCTCAAAAACTTTTTACTGATGTGGTACGCAATCAAAAGAGTTTGGAGACCACTGTTTTAAGGTATTGAAACTGCACTTCGTATCTTGAGCAAGCAAGAAAGCACCTTGAGTACATAGCAAGCATTAGCTCTTGGATTTAAAAAAAAAATCTAGTTTCAAAAAGAACATGAAGAATCCAAATTAACACACAATCAAGTCATAGTAAATACAGCCTGTGCTGTATATTGGATATCAACTGTGTTGCTTTGCTCGTCAATCTGGCTATGAACTACAGGTCTGATCTAGCTCC